TCAATAAACCGGTCTGTTCTTATCAATTTTCATCCGATTTATTTAATTTTAATTTTATAATGTTCAGTAAATGAATGTCTTTGTAATGATGTCTTTCTTTAACATTTACTCAATAGTCTGTGATTTTACGTCATTTTTCTCTACGTTCTGACGTCCATATTTGATGCAAAATATCGCGCGATATCGCAATAAAGATTGTGTAATAAAAAAAATCAACACGGTGAATTTTGCTATAATTTTCCGAGCGTGTAGTGAGATAGTGAAGGAAAATATTTATGCAATAAAAATATAGGGTCAACGCGTAAGATATTTTGCTATTACTGTTTTAAAATAAAATAAAAGGTGAGTGAAACGTAATGATTTTGGTGACGTTAATAGATGTTGGAGTTCAAATAACAATTTTCTTACGTCAGACATTACGTAAGTATAACCAACACAGGGACTTGATGAAATGTATATTTTTTAAATTGTTGATTATTTTCTCATTGAAAGCATGTGTTAGATGGGCACATTTACAATGTTTAATCCGACAATCCCTTTTTAAATACTTTCCTAATTTGCAGGACACTGTCTCATACATCTTTTAATTCTAATTTTATAATGTGATGTTGTTAAAGTGTTATATTATTATATGAATTAACTAGTTTCAGCGCAAAAAATAAGATTCACATATTGCTGTATGAATGAAGTAAGAATATTAGTTTGCTTATCTTATACCCGTAGAATATTTATTTTACGTTACATCCAGCTTTTGAACACTTTCATAAAATCACATAAAGGCAGACGAGCCTCGGTGTCAAACCACATCGTAAAAATACAATTAAAATAGATATGCATACAAATGTGCCGAAATAAGTGATAAATAAAATTCAAATATGTTAAAGGGACTCCACTGAGGTTTTTTGACATGATGGAACTGAAAATATTTTTTCCAGATAAATGTACCATTTGATGTAGGGTTAGACCATTAATCTTTGTGCAAAATTTCAGAGCATTCGCGCACTTCGTTTTTCCAGAATAATTATTCAAAATGAAAAGCGTTTAAACGCTTTTCACCCAAACCGGGCTAACAAAAGCATAAAAATACGATTTTCAATTTATTTCAAAGAATATTTCTTAACTATCTTCGCATATATTTCTGTTTAAAGTGCCCCAGGTCATTTATGTAAGAAATTCAAATGTTATGTGTTTGGCTTTTCAACCTCAGTGGAGTCCCTTTAAGAATATTTAAAAACAAACTGTACAAGAAACAAAAACCTTTATTTTATTTTTATTTTTGCTTACCATTTTTAAGTCTGTGCAATACATAGATTATATAATTATAATCTAATTAAAATGTCATGATAATTAGAAAATGAGCACTTATGTGACAAACGGAAGCAAAATCATACTGAATAAAAAATATATAAGCATATTCGCAACTGCAGACTCGAATGTGAAACACCCAATATAACCATTACTCAACTCGGATTCATTACCGCTTTTCATAACAGTATAACATAGCGGGCTCAAAGTATTATTTATTTCTAAAGAGCTCACTACATTTTACCTCTGTAGGGCAACCACTCTAGGCAACAAAGGGCATTTCTCTGTAAAGGTTATACTGTATATTTTAATTAAATACAAAATATAATTATTAAATAACTTGTGCAACATTTGTTACCACTGAATACGAATAATGTATTATGTTGACGTTATCTTGTTCATTTTTTAATACAATACAGTTTGCTTTAAAGCAAAAATAAAAAAAACAAGAAAAAAATAAACAACCTCAAAACACACACCAAAACACGTGTTCATGATGTAAACAATAAAGTGAACTTCTCCCTTATTAAGGGAGATCATAATCAGGTATTTAACTTTGAATATTCTTCTGTGTTGCCACGTTGTAATCGGTAAAGAGGTCTTACGCAGAATTCGGAAGGCATGGATTCGAGACACGACTGCGTATTGTGCTGCGTATTATCCTTTAGAATTGTTTACTGTGAATGAAATGTTTCAAGGTCCACCTCGGACTCCTGTCATTCATTTCCAAAGAGAAGTTGATACTGTGAGAAACACTGGTTTCGTTAAATTTCCTCCGCTATAATTGAAATACTGTTGAAAGCGGCGTTAAACCCAATATTAAAAAAAATAAGAAGATATAAAACATAAAATGCATAGTTCATTATTTTGATAGGCTCTACATAAGCACTGCATTATGTGCAGACAAACGAGCTTCTCCCCACAACCATAATCACACAAATTAAGAATCCTACATAATCGCCTTCAGTACAAGGGAATCTGTATTTAATATGCAAAATTCTCCGCTTCTGAACATACAAAATAAATCAATGGATCTTTTCGCCTCTAATCGAGAAATGATCGCGGCTTCAGGTCGCCTCAAAGATGCGCTAGTAAACGCATACCGCGAGTCAGCTAGTTTTAAAATAAATAAGAATATCTGTAATTATATGTGAAATACGTGAGAAATTAAAGCCATAGCATGAGAGCGTGATTCCTGCTTTAAATCTGAGTCCCACGCTTAGTGCAGGATATTTAGCTGCGAGAGAAAATAGAATAACTGATGGCTGTCAATAAATAAATTTTTATACGTGTAGAAATTTTTGAATTAAATGTCTGCTAGATTTATAATATAATTAAGACTACCAGTGAATCATGACTTACGTACAAATCGTTGCTACTTCCAGTTGATCATATATTTTTGAAACGTAAATTGGATTCATTTCCTACCAGAGACATAGATGTTATCTATTTCTCTGTTCCTACTAACTGATATAAAAATATATACAATTCAAAATTGTTACATATGATAATATGGAAGTTTGTACCGGGATACACATTGCGAGCTGCACCAGCCTGTTCATTCTCTTTTTCTGACATTCTTTGCAAAATTTGTTTTTTATAATTTCCACTTAGGTGACCTTTTTAATTATATTTTTCAATGTTCTGAATTGTCTTTCAGTACTTGAGGTATTTATATCCATTCGTTGCAGTTTTTCAGAGATTGATACAACTTTTTGCAGACAGTTTTACCCTGAATTGTTGTACATGTATATATTTGAAGATATTCATCGGAATGCAGGCATCTCTGACAGGACTTTAAAAAAAACATTTTTACGGAACATGTCTAAATACTATTGTTGTTAATGGTTTTCACACATTTTTTATTTCCTGCCAGTATGATATTTATCGAAAAAGTCGTGAAAATTTCTTGAGAAAAATATTTGACGTCACCAAAATCATTACGTTTACTCACCTTTATTTTAATATTCAATAGTAATGGCAAAATATCTTACGCGTTGACCCTATATTTTTATTGCATAAAGATTTTCTTTAATGACTTCACTACATGCGTTAAAAAAATTATAGCAAAATTCACCGTGTTGATTTTTTATTATTTTCACAATCTTTATTGGATATCGCGCGATATTTGCATCAAATATGGACGTCAGAACGTGAGGGGAAAAACGTAGAATCGCAGAGTAATTAAAGCAAATGTTCAAGAAAGACATCGTTACAAAAACATACATTACTGAACACTATAAAATTAAAATGAAAGAAAATCGGATGAAAATTGATAAGAACAGACCGGTTTATTGATAAAAAAGACGCACTTTCGCCGTCACCGATAGAGGGCGCTTTGACGTCATAGTAACGCTGTTTATTTATAAAATAATACTGCAGAAGTAAAGCTTACATATCTACATGTCTGTATACCAAAAATCATCAAGATCTGAGATATTGTGAAATTTCGGTCGGAAAGTAGCGAGCTACCTTAAATAAAAACATTATATTCATATAGGATTCATATAGAACATATTCGTGCAGAAATAAAGCATTATTGAAATTCATTGTTTGTGTGATTTGATACTTGGACAGTCACTGTCGGATACATTTCTGGTCCTACATTGTAGAAATTATCTTAAATTCTCTTAATGTAACCCGAACTATCTAAATGTAACGGCTATTCTTTGCAAATGGTAATAAATCATGCCAATTTCAAAATTTATCTCTAAAACATTTTGTTCAAATGATTAAAAACAGATATGAAACAATATCATTTCAACAAATTTTGTAACAGTTAATAGTGCGATAAGAGAAATGCTAATTAGTTTAAAAAGCAACTTAATTTAAATTACATCATGGCCTAAAAATAGGAATTGTAAATCAAATTGGATCCAAACTTGAATTATCACAGACTCTTGATGAAATATTTAGATGAATCTACTTCTTACTATTTTATTTTAGGAAAGTATTTTTGGTACAAACACATTTCAACTTTCCTTACAACGAACCAGTAAATTTCTCTTAAATTTCGCATTAATTAAAGTAAATGAGTGCTAAATTCAAAACCATCAGTTCGAAGTTATATTCAGTTTTCTTAATCATATTGAAAGTTATAGTTCTAACGAGTTTAAAAAATATAAATGCTAAGCTTTGAAAACTCATTTTTAATCAAGGGTACATTTTGTAAATTAGTGACAGATTGTCAGTAGAGCAATGATGCAATGATTGTCTGTTGGAAGGTATTAACTATATGCAGGGCGTCCATTAGTGGAAGTATGAGAATCATTTACTGCTTAATTTTGGCTTGTAACTTCTAGAATATAACGCTTTTCCTTCTTTAACTTTATAATGTGACTTCAAATGTCAGACAATTTGCAATCTCTGACAACCAAAGTTTGAAACCTAATGAAAGTCATGCAAGCTCACTTACCACCAAATTTGTCAACTTGATTTTATGCCGATGTATATTACACAGCACTCTACAATTCTATTCATTTAAAAAAAACTTTTCTGTAAAAAATCTTACACTCTTCAAACATTCATTATTTATTTTTTATTTTTTGTGACGGGTGCAGCTGCTTGGTAATGTGAAACTGCAATAACCATTCCAACGAGATTTAGTGCTGGAAATCTACAGCACAAAAAATAATGGTCGCAAGACTTACTACACAAACAAATAGGTTGCAGTTCAAGAAAATGTGACTAGTAAGTATACTGTTTCTTTTTATTTTGGAAGTTGATATATACATCTTTAGTCCAATTCTGATTTTGCCAAAATGAAAACCAAAGAAAAAAAGTGTCAGCACTCAAGAATTCCACACTTCTCCCATCTTTCATTTGGATCCATCGTATAGCACCAAAGGAATCCTAAAATATTAAGATAGATAGCTGTCTGAATAAAGATTTGTTCTGTTCTATTCTAATTTGATATGATATAAATACTGTGTAACAGGTAAATACAAACATTTGCTATACAAAGTTACTAGCTAGGTTATTATTTTTTCAAATTCTTGTTTGCTTGTGTACCTTGAAGGACCAAACCCCTTCCGTCTAATGGATAAAAATAATACGCAAATTAGTTTGTATCAAAAGTAGTGGTTAAAAAATCTGGAAACAAAGTGATCCCTCTGAAGCATTAATCACAACAAAATTACATAAGAATTGCAGACTCGGTTTGATTGAGTCTGTACGTGAGGGATAATGAATAAGTGCAACATCCCTCACGCCCCTAGCACCGGCTTGAGCGGTACTCAATTCTCAATACTTAATAGTGCTCCCAAGATCACGCAGCAACACAGGACCATTTGCACTTAACACAGCAGCTTGACACCGAATAAAAAGAGAAGAACTTTAAGAAATGATAAAATTTTAACTTGAAAGATTGCTTGAAGCAAACAAGTTGATACTAACGAAAATTCAGTGTTCCATAGGGACACCTTCCTGCACCAATATAGCTGGGAAGTTACAAAATGACCTATATAACCCAACACGAATTATAATCATTACAGCATTATTATACATAACAGACAAAAGTAAGTACATACCGGATTCAGTAGGATCCCTGCAATAATTCTGGGCACCCGTCACAGATTGATCTTGTTGAAACTTCTCACCATCTGTCGCTTTATGTTTATGAGGGGTTTGTGAATCCCATCTCTGGCATTCACGACCTGTCTGTGTACGGTGCCATGTACCGGTGTAGCATCCGGTACAATTGGTTTTGAAGCAGTCTGTAAACATTTTTAAAAAATAAAGTATCAATAGGCAAAAACTGTACAAACTGATTGTTTTGGAAGATGTTTTCAATGTTTTGTTACATCTTTTCGAATAAAATTTTAACATTTTGCTATTTGTCGCTACCAAATGACAAAATAAATAATGAATTTCAAATTGGTTTAATATAGACCTAGACATTTTTTAGAAATTGGTATGCTTTTAAGAAATTCAGGATTCATATACAAATATATTCTATACCATCATACTATAGTCGAACTCCTAATTTCATTAATGTTGTAGTATTTGAAACTTTATACTTCCATGATCATGAGAATAACAAATACCTGTAGTTATAAAATATTCAATGTTT